TGAGGTTGTGGCCCAGCATTCAGGTTGGACTAAAAGATTTTTAAACTCCCCTCAGATGATGATTATCAGGAACCCTGTGCCAGTGCTGTGGCAGGTTTGAATGGAGTTTATGAAGGTAAAGTCATAGCCAGTCTTTCTGGCAAGTTAACAAGATGGCAAAAGTCCTTTCAATGCCACTGAAGTCTTTGAAATTGTGCAAAAGTCCTTTGCATTTATCGAAAGCTAATCAGTATGACATTAACAAAGAACAAAGCAAGCCTAATGAAGATGAAAGATTTGAAAAGTGGATTATTTTTCTTTTGTGCTGACTTTTTTTCCCTGAAACACTTATCCTTGTTGACTGAGTAACAGGCTGATTATCAAATGAAATGGGAACTGTTTACGTGTATTAAATTAGATCCTTTCATTCTTTGTCTGAGTTTCCTTCATAAATGCAGGTTTTAACCAAGTCATTAAAATGCTCATTTAGCTGAAATTTGGCAATCTAATTCCTTCCCTGACAAGATGCTTTAAATACCCTTTACCTAGTCAACAAAATTTGATTAAAACCAGCATGGGTGTTTCTTTCCTCAAACTCCTTTCTCTCCCTCTTAATTGAGTGTCCAAAAATACCCTGTTTGGGTACTGTCCATGCATTTCTCCAAGAAAGCAGCATTCAATATAAATGTGAAATTTCAAGCTGTTTGTCCACAGTTGCTGGACTGTAAAGCATATCTTATTACCTGAAAATGCCAAAGTAAAGATTAAAGCTAGGAATAACCTGTTAGCAAGAAGTTGTTTTGCACAGTAGTAGAATAGCAAGAAGTTATGTTCAGTTGAGTCTTATGGATTGAAAACTTTAAAGATAGAACTTTGAATGACTTCAGTGTGTAAAATTTTACACTGTGTAAAACTGTGATGTCTTCCATGGTGCTGTGATGGGAAAGAAAAGTTGATAGGGTAGACCCATTTTCTGGAGTTTGGGAGATTCTGTGTAGGCTGGAGGATGTGTGGAGTTTAGTCTGGTTCATATGTACAAGCAATTGGAAAAGATGAAGTGTCTGTGGTGTCATAAATCATTGTCACTGGAGCTGTGAGAGCTGATTATCTTAGTCTTGCTGCTGGACAGAGTCCAGAGGAGGTACTAAGATGATCAGAGGGATGGAGCAGCTCTGCTGTGAGGAAAGGCTGAGAGGGTTGGGATTGTTCAGGCTGGAGAAGAGAAGCTTTGGGGTGACCTAATTGTGGCCTTCCAGGACCTGAAAGAAGCCCACAAGGAAGAGGGAGAGAGACTATTTCCAAGGGCCTGGAGTGACAGGACAAGGGGAAATGGCTTCAAACTGACAGACAGTAGGTTTAGATTGGATATTGGGAAAAATTCTTCCCTGTGAGGGTGGGGAGGCCCTGGCACAGGTTGCCCAGAGCAGCTGTGGCTGCCCCATCCCTGGAAGTGTCCAAGGCCAGGTTGGATGGGGCTCTGACCAACCTGGGCTAGTGGAAGATGTCCCTGTCCATGGCAGGGGGTTGGGACTGGATGATCTGTAATGTCCCTTCCAACCCAAACCTTTCTGTGATAACATGACATGAGTTTCAGGGTCTTTGATATTGTTTACTTTTCAGCCATGAGGAGGCTGAACTCTCATTTTGTGGTACCTTTTTCTCTCCCATCCATGGAAAGGTAAAAAATGGCTGTGCCTAAGTTTGTTGAAAAACAAGCAGTGGAGTATTAGGATTTCTGGATTATTCTGCATTGAAAAAGAAACTGTTGAAGATATATTCTAAAAAGATCTATACTCTAAAAAAATAGCATGTAATCAAGCTGTTACAATAATGATTTGTACAATCACACTTGCTTAAGCTCTGCAGTTTGCAATGCATCATGTTCTTACTGAATATTGACTGCAGGCACCTTCCAGTGGCATTTTGCAGAAATATTCAGTACTGTATTTCAGCTACACTTCTGTAAATTGCAACTTCAACACACCCAATGACACAAAAAAGCTCGAAGACTGTTGAGCTTTAATGAGGCCTATTTTAGCACAGTATTCTTACTTTCTAAACACCTGCAAAAAATTTTTACTTGATCTCATTAACAGTGAGGGAAAAAATATTAATGTTGTTATTTTCAAGGATTCGTTCGTTTTGGAGGCTTATTGAAGAACTTGGGAGTGATCTTACATAAATCAGAAAAAGCAATAGATTTTGGAGTGTAGAGACTGTCACTGTGTCCTTAGGTCATTGTGTACTTGGATATTGAGAAGGACTCAGAACAAGTGTAATATGACATACAACACCACATGATTTATGCTCCCTCTAATGTAATAATGGCCAGTCTTCGCGAGTGAAGATTTGGGAAAGGTCATTAACCCTTCGAGCCTGCGCAGTGGATTTTTTAGGTGAGACACAGCGTGCGCTGAACTGAGCCCACCCTTTAATCCTGAGGTTCATCTGCCGGGGCCAAGCAAGCTTGGACAGTGGCAGTGAGGGTCTCAGGATGTAGGTTTGTTTAGAGTGACCTTCTCTTAGATGGATGGCCTCACAGGGCTGACGAGCTCCATCTGCTCGGGGGGCTGGGAATCGAACCCGGGTCGCAGCGGTGAAAGTGCTGCACCCTAACCACTAGACCACCAGGTCTATACTCCCTCTACCTGGAGAGTATAGGGTGGAATAACAGCTAATAGTCTGATTTTATTTTTTTTTTCAGAAATCCTCAGCTCCAACAACCTCAGCTGAAGGGAAAATAAAAGTGGCAGCTGCCAAGCACAGCTGAAAATGGGGCCATGAATGTCAGCCCTAAAATTGTGTTTTGTCGTGTTTATAGTTTAACGTCAGGATCTCAAAACTTCCTCTGAACATCACATTTTTAGTTTTATTATTTCTGTAACAGTGGGGCAGAAAAACCATCATAAAAGACATACTTGATTTTTTTCATTGGAGCCTTCTGTCTCCCTCACCCTCAGTCCACAGGTGAACTATTTTTGAGGTTTGAGGGCAATCTGTTCAGTGATTTTTAAAGTAGGCAAGAAGTGGCGTGGGAGGGAGATTTTCCTAGCTTCTCTTGTTGTGGCTGTATTTTGTAAAAAAATCATCATTATGTTGAAAGCAAGCAGCTGAAAGATAGAATTCAGGACCTAATTCATACTGGGTAGACAACTCGAGCCCTTCAGTGAAACCCTGTAGGTTTATTGTGTTCAAAAATCAAATCTTCAGTGCACAGTTCTTTGCTGAGTCTGGTGACAGACCTGAGGTGACCTAGACTTTGTCTCACTTGCTTACAACCAGCAGAATCTGAAGATAGGGTAAAATTTAGCCTTTCTGTACGTTCTTTGCTCCTGTGCTGAAAGGCCTCAGAGTGTGGCCTTTCCATTACCTGATAATTTTCTCTGGTCTTGATGGAGAACCAAAGGTAGAGAGCTGAGCTTGGCTGTCCAAATGGGCAATTTTGAATTATTTTAAGGTGTCAGTTAGTGCAGAAAGAAGTGTGAGAACTTAGGAAGAAACCAAAACTATATGGAAACAGTTACATATATGACTTCTGCTTGTATGTTGTTGGGCACTCATCTCCCATTCCTGTTGTAGGGCAGAAGCAGGTAGGAGTCAGAGCCAGGAGAGTGTGTGAGATTGTCATGGAAAAGCAAAATGCAAGTTTTGGGATAACTGTCAAGGCAGGGTGGAAAGCAGGCTTTCTTATATGATGGTAACACAGTGGCTAATGCAAATACTGAAATGAAGGCAGAATAAGCCTTTGGTCATTTCTGTGTTACCTCATCAAGTTGTGACACAGAGGGAAGGGATTTTTGGCAGTTTTCCACCTTTCTTCAGGTTCATGATATGGTGGGGAGCTGGCTTTTTTTTTGGACGGGGGAGTGGGTAAAGGGGTATAAGTGATAATGGTTAATAAAAACTTTATAAACTTAGCAAAAACTCTTCACAAAAGTTGTCTGTGTAATGTTAGATGTATGATAATATGATGTTGAAAAGTTTTACTGGGATTCATTAATTTTGCCCTGTGCAATTCACTTCTGGCTCTTCCAGACTGGTAATGCCAAATTCAAGCCAAGAAAATGACTGTACTTATGTGTAAGATGTATACACACTGTGATTGCTTAAGAACTAAATTGCCTTATATAACTTATAACTTCAGCATTTTCAGTGCTTTGATGGCATATCCTATGTCAGGGAATATTGGTAAATATTGAGGCAAAATTGTTTCTTTATGTAAGTCAAATCTTGAAAGGTTTCATGTGCAGCCAGTGAGTGGGTGTGTATGTTTTTATTTATTTGAGAGTGTATCTGCCTACATAATCACTCATCTTAGAGTCTACATATTTCTCTTGTCAAAAGTAGTATCATAGTAAAGGCTGTTAAATACTTTATAGTGTCTTTCATCCAAGCTTCTCATATTGCTTTAGCTATTAATTAATGCTTGATAGTCCTGGTATGAGATAGAAAATATTATCCCCATTACTAACGGTTAAGCAGAACCACAATGCAATGAAACACTTGTCCATAGTGGCACTGCCATCCCTGTTTCAAAGCTGGGTTAATTCTGAGCTTACTGTCTTCCTGTAATATCTCAGTAGACATCGAGAGTGTTAATTTTTTTATCTCAACGTATCTGCTCCAGGTCAGTCCTGGAAGTGATTGCGTGTGTAAGTGTGTGGGTGACTAACTTGCAGTGTTTAGAATAGTAACTATCTGTGCTTTCTTCATCATCCTTTTTGGTTTTGGTTACTTGAGATTCCTCTTGAGTTAAGCTTGGTTGCAAGATGCACTTTTTTGAGGTGAGGACAGAGCCAGCTAAGTCAGAAATTGAGTTGGTAATTCTTATACTCTCATTCTCGTGCTGCTTCTAAACACTCCACTGTCCTTTTGTAGTTTGGATTCATCACACAAAACTGAACCAAACCCTCTCCCCCAGTTATAAAATATCAAAAAGCTACCAAGATATAGTAGATAGGTACCACAAAACGAGAGTTCAGCTTCCTCATGGCCGAAAATTGACTTCTTTTCTTTTCCAGCTTAACCCACGCTATCCAGAAGTTAATAATGAAGGAAAAGCTTTGGTAAGTGGAATTTATATGTTCATTTAACCTGGGAAATGCTGTACCCTTAACCCAGTACAGCCTGACACATGGAAACCCTTCATAGCTTTCTTTTTATTTACATTTTACGGCTGCTGGGACATCTTTGCGAGGATCTAAACTGTCTTTGCTGCAGCATGGATGGGTTTGGAGGAGGCAACAGCCTTTGCCTGTACAACATCAAGAGCATGTTAGGCAATTCTAACTAACAGGGCAAGGCCAGACATGTGGTTTATAACCTGTGAAGGAAGTGGAGTTTAGACCTTGGGGGAATCTTATTGTTACTAAGACAACAAGTATTCCAAAAAAGAGTAATTCCTCCATCAAATTCCCTAGACTGCCTTGAAAACACCGAGATCTTCTTTGAAAAATTTCAGTTTAATTTCTTTCTGCCTGCCTTCTGGCTCTTGTTCTTTAAGAGGATGCATTTAAAAGTTTTTCTCTGCACAGGGGAAGAATTTTTTTAGTTTTCATGAAATGAAACCCAAGGTTCTTACATAATCCCGTGCCTTGAGGACTGCAATTTTAATAAAAATTGAGACTTTTTTGGGAGTTGACAACATTAATTTTCTATCTTCAGTGGTATTTGGTAATAGAGGTAATATAGCAATAAAAGCTAAGCTGTCTAGAGAAAAGAGACTTCTCCCTTCCAAAAGTACAGAAGTTCCACGAGTTGTTTCTCTTTTGTATTGGAATGACACTTGAGGCCTTTAGAGCTTTGTAGCCATTTTAATTCATCTAAATAGTTAAATATTCCCGGGACTGGGTAATGAAGAAGGTCCAAGAGTAATCTGAGCATGAATGTTAAAGATAACTTCTCTAACACTTGGGCTTATCCTTCCTGGGTATTGGTTTCAGCTAAAACCCCAGGCCAGATAAATCATGTTAGAGAAATACGTCCAATAAAAAATTAATCAAAGCTGATTGATGATCAAAACAGATGTCTCTGTGGAAATTTTAACTTACACGCTCAGCACTTTCTCATGAAAGATGTTTTGCAAAAGAACTTTTAACAATTTTTGGTAACACCTCCATGTAAATCCAAGCCTAGAGGCATTTGTAGCATAGTAGGAATCCCTTTGGATCGTTCACCCCTTTGTAGTCTTGTTGGAAATGCCATGAGTCAGCAATGGCTATTTTAAGCCTTTATTCTGGCTTTGAGTACAGAAGCTCCAGATCTCTGTGCAGGAATTTCTTTTGGTATAATGACGGTGTTTTGAATTGTCCCTCAAAAGTACAAGAATCTTATAATATTTGGGGTTCTTTAAGGGTCAGCTATGTCAGTCTTGCATCTAATAGCACATAACCTGGAGCACACATGCTTTCCTTGCTCTGTGGTTATCATCTAGTGTTTCCTCTGCCTGGTGACTGACTGGTTCACTGCAAAGTCATCTTCTTTTTCAGGTTCTGAAGCAGTATTTTGAAATACTGCCCGTGAAGTAAATCTGCTCTAGAGGGGAGGTGGAAGTGGCCCTACCCCAGCAAAATCTGAAGTCTGGGTAGCAGGGAAATGGGAAGTGAATACTTGAATCCTTATGACTGAAGGGTTGAACCTGTAGCCTGTACCCTGGGGGCCAAGAAGGCAAATGGAATCCTGGGGAGCACTGGGAAGAGCATTGCCAGCAGGTCAAGGGGGGTGATCCTGCCCCTCTGCTCAGCCCTGTGAGACACATCGGGAGTGCTGTGTCCAGTCCTGGGCTCCTCAGGACAGGAGGGACATGGAGCTCCTGGAGTGGGTCCAGCGGAGGCTGTGGAGATGATTCAGGGACTGGAGCATCTCCCTGGGGAGGAAAGGCTGAGGGAGCTGGGGCTGTTCAGCCTCCAGAGGAGACACTGAGAGGGGACCTCATCCATGTGTGTCATTGTGTGCAGGGAGGGGGCAGAGGATGGACCAGGCTCTGGTCAGGGGTGCCCAGCAATGGGAGGCCGTGGGCAGGAACTGATGCCCAGGAAATTCCACCTGGACACAAGGAAGAACTTCTTTGCTGTGCAGTGACCGAGCACTGAACGGGTTGCCCAGAGAGGGTGTGGAGTCTCCTCACTGGGGATATTCCAGAGCTGTCTGGATGCAACCCTGTGCCATGTGCTCTGGGATGACCCTGCTGGAGCAGGGAGGTGGCATCAAATGCCTCAGTGTTGGTCCCTTCCAGCAGTGACTGACTCTGTGTTTTTCTTTTCTCTACCAGTCTGGTACCACCTCCATATGGGTTGTCTGGGTTTTAAAGGCAGCACAGCCATCTGTGCCAACTCTTAACTCCTAAAGGTGTGACAGGGCTTCTTGTGCATGTTCCCTCCTGGTTTACAAGTCCTGGTCACAGTTGCTCAGGCAACTGAATTTTCGGAAGCAGCAACAGAGAAGGAATTTCCGTGGTACGGTAGTGGGCACGGACACGTGGGTTCTGAGTGCATCTTTTCTGCCTTGCCTTATGTGACCCAAAAGTCTGAAAGGGTTTTGGCTCCAGAGATCATAAATATTACTGGAAGCCATTAGGACTTCTGTTCCCAAGCGTTAAAGGTATGTTTGGACTGTGGTTCATTGCTCATTTATGAGCTGCTTCTTGACAATCCAGCCAAATTGTCTTGTGAAGCACTGCTTTTATTTCTGGTAAAATTTGGCCTTACAATGAGATGATTAATATTCTTACATGTAAGCTCCAGAAGATTATTTTTTTTTTTTTAGATGGGAAGACCTTCCCATGATTCAAGGGTCTTACAAAAAAAAAAAGCTACTTCATCTCTTGAAGTCTAGGAGTTTGCAGTATATCTTGCATCAAAATATGGTGTTCTGTGTTACAGCTCCCACTAAATCCAAAAGTGGTGTGTTTTGTGCTGCAAAGTAGGCTATTATTTCTAAGGATAGAAATGTACAGCATCCAGAAGAATGCTCCAAACACTGCGGAAATGTCAAGAACAGCTGGAAACCTGTCATTTGTTAATGCCTTTGCATTAAGGCCTGTCTTTGCCTTAACTCCATTTGTCCTCGTTTTCCGGAGAGTGCTAATTCTAACCAGTTCCAAATTGCCTTTTATTGTTGAGATTTTTCTTAGAATTGAGACTGGTATGTGTTTCCTTTTCTTGTAAAGAAGTTGGGCAGTTCTACCATGGCCTTCCAGGTGCAGTTTAATGTATCTCCTTTGACTTCTGTTTATCTGTCTTTATGAATTCCAGACATTCTGCAATTCTAACTTTTTTTCCTTGCTGCCAACCTAAGAGATTTTTTTTTATAAGCTATGGAAATTATTTTTTTAAAAATTTTATTTTACCTTCCAGAACTAAGTTTGTTAAATTATAATTTTATAATATGGGACATGGGTGATGCAGTTTAAACAAGAATAGAGTTGGGGAATTTATTGGGGTTTTTTAAAGGATTAACCTGGCAATAACAACCTAAAGAACATTGAAAAGAAAACAATAATCGTCAGCTTTAAAATGTCAGCATCTCTCTGCTTATATAAAGCCAGCAGTCAGACCACTGGAGAGGCTGGGGAGAAGGGGAGACACAGATGCTGGCACATTATTATTATTCTGCTGTTGCACACAGGTCTGAATCAGCTCTGGAAATGCATACATTGTTTCTTACAGAATGTCTCTGGCTCCTAACAACAGGATTGCAACGTGATGTCTCTGCTAAAAATGCGATGACTCACAAATGAGTCAACAGTGAAGGTGTTCCAGGAGGCTACTGCTGTGCTGTGCCGTCTGCCAGGGCTCTGGAACGTGCAGGAGCAGGGCTGGCCATTCATTTACTCCATTATCTTTCCATATAGAATTTTTTAAATAATCTAAACTGGGCAGTTCTGCTCACGTTACTGCTCTGGGAAAATGCCTGTTTTCTGAGAGCCTCCTAAACTGGGTTAACATATTGAGATACCACATTGTACTGGGTTTAACAGGCATTTTCAGAACTCTGGCTGCTATTAAATTTAATTTCTGCTGAAATCTGTAGTGCAGCTTAATGTATTCATTCAGGAGCAGGGCATTAACCTTGTCTGTCTCTATGCCACCAGAGGGGTCTTCACCTGTTGGAATTGTAGATTGGGTTTCTAAAAGAAAATGTATTTCAAGTCTGTCATGGTTTTGTATTGCTTTTTGCAGTTGAAATGAAGGCCCCTCTGTAAGGAAACCCCCATGTAAATCTCCTAAATTTTAGGTATGATGCCCCACTGAGATGAATAATGAAGATTTAGGGTAGGTCACAATTACTAGCAAATTCTGTTAAGAGCTGTGAAAAAGGTTTGTCTGCTGGGCTGCAAGTCTCAAGAAAGACAAATCTCCTTACATGTTTTTCCTTCGTCCTTGTGAGTGATTTAACCAGTGCACAACAAGAGTGAGGTGATTCCACCTTCTTCACCTTGGATATGGATCTAATTTGACTTGGGACAGCCCATCACTAGTTTGTGATTAGTTTGGGACAATCAAAACTTTACTTGTTTTCCCTCAGTGAATTTACTATTTCTTATTATTTCAGCCCACTCATTTCTTAGTGTTTTACCCACAGTTCTTGCACCTCCTCTTCATACTCTTAGCATTTAATTCACCTGGCTCTTTGTTTTCCTATAAAGTCTTGGAAGTGCTTTCCTCAGCTGTCACTGACCACATCTCCAACATCTCTGAAACTGTTCCACTGGCTTCCTCTTTGTACTGCTTTAAGTTAAATTTTCTTCTCTCTACATTTGATTTCTTTTGCAATTCTTTTCTTCCTTTCTCTCAACTGAATCCAGTTTTTCTGGCTGCATCTGCTCATATGCCAGTTTTTTACCTGAGCAAATGTCATGTTGTTTTCATCTGGTGAGGAATGCAGTGCTTCTCCTGAGCTCATCATCTTGTCTAATTAATTTAAAATAGCCTAATACTTTCACTTCTTCTCACATCCTCACACAGACTCATCTGCTGATTCAATAATGGCTAGGTTTAAGTGCAGATTCTGATGACTGCTTACTAAATTTAATTTATCATGAGAAGCTTTCTGTATGCAAGTGCTTGTGCATTCTCCCTCTCCCACACACAGGTGTGTGCACATGGACTGAGACGTAAATTGAGACATAAACACAAATCCCTGCATGTTCATATGTAATGACAGTATTGCTGTCTCTCATGTGCTCCATGGATGCAACTTGTTTTCAGAGCTGCCAAGTTGAGGGACACATGGAGTTTTTTCCATGATTAATGCTTAATGCCCCTAATCCAGGTTGAGCTGTGAGGTTCAGATCCTAAAATAATGTAATAGGGTGAGTTCTGAGGTTTGTGGTGGAGTTCAGTCTGGAGCACAGCTCTTGTGCAGGGCTGGTTTTGCTCAGCTAGGCTTGGCATTGCAGCCAGCAGTTTGCAGACACTGTCTTGCCTGCTGTTGAAGTGGACTTTGTTTTTAGACCAAAAACCAGATCTTGCTCCTATACCAGGTTTGATTTGACAGCTGTTAAGCCTGGTTGGTGGGGTTTAGGCCTGATGAGCCAATTCCATTGCTCAACTGGATCTATACAGTTGTTGGGGAGACTAGTGGGTGGTTTGTCAACCCCAAACTGCAGGGTGAACTTCACTCCTGTCAATGTTGTGGTTTAACCCCGTCTGCCAACAAAAAAACCACCAAAACCCTAAAAAATCCCCAAACCAAAAAAACCCCCATACAATTATGAAGTGTGCTGCCTTTTTGTATACCAGTCATTTCAGTTTGGAAATTATAGTGGAGTGGGTAGTTTCTGGGAAAACAGAATGTAAGTTATAGGAAATATCAAAAAGTCTGGATGCTGCTCTAAACTATCCTGTGCTACTCATCCCTTTACAGACCTCTTGAAGTTTAAACTGGTTTTCAAGTTTTCTGTTTTGTTTGGAAATGTAGAAACATTTAACATTAGACTTTCACACGTATTAAGCTCTTAGAAGGATTCTTTTATAGTTTATGTGCCTTTTCAGTTTTTTCCTACTGTCTCTGTCCTTGATAGAAGTAATGGGATGGAAAGCTGGCATTTTTTAGGCTTGATAATGAAACAAATGGGTGTTTTGGAAGGATTCAAAAAGTGCCTTGAAATGAGATAACTGGCTCTCTCTTACATAGTTTCACTCATCCTTGATTTTTGTTGCTTAATCTCAATTGTCAACATGGATAATCAAAGCTTTGCCCTTGATTATCCCTTACAGTTTGGTTTTAATCAAGGTACTAATGCAAACTGAGTGCAGCCTGGCCTTTTACACTGCTCTGTACAGCTCTTCTCTAGTGCTGCATTATAAATCATTATAATAGTATTTCAGGTTTCCAGGGTTTGATTCCCCCCCTCGCCTCCTTTTGGCTTTCTTCATTCCTCTTTTCTTCTACCTCTATGATATATTTTGTGTACATGAAGGGCCCTGGGCTGCCAGTCTCTTAATTGTTTATTAGTCTTTTATAATATGTGTAACTCAACACCCCAGAGGGGCAGCTTTTACTTACACCAGGAATTCTATTGGTTGCTGGGTGGGTACGGACTCAGACTCTGAATTACTCCTTCAAGACAAGATGTGTGTCTAGGGAAGGTGGAATTTGGGGTCTGTGAAGACAAAGGCATGTAGATAACTAAAGATGAGGATGGCTGGGTCGCAAAGTCCCCTCAGACTTTCAGCAGACAGTGGTAGGAAGATCACACCATAGATTCACATGCCTCATTTGAGCAACTCTGTAACTTGAAAGCTCCTCAAAGGGAACAAACTTCTCCCCTTGCAGTGGGTAAAATCAGACCTGTGTTGGTGCTTTGTGTCTCCCCCTTCCCAGGACAGGTAGATCTTAGTGGAGCAGATATCCTGGCTCTTGCTGTTTGGAAAGTGTTGGACAGGATGAGAGCAAATGGCCTCAAGCTGTGCCAGGGGAGGTTCAGGTTGGGCATAAGGAGAAATTTCTTCATGGAAAGTGTTGTCAGGCATTGGAAGAGGCTGCCCAGGGGGTGGTGGAGTCATCATCCCTGGAGATGTTTGGAAAATGACTGCATGTGGCACTCAGTGCTATGATTTAGTTGACAAAGTGTGGTGATCTATCAAAGGTTGGGTTTGATGACCTTGGAGGTCTTTTCCACACTAAGTAGTTCTGTGATTCTGCGAAAGTGTGCTGCTGTGATTCTGACCAAATGAGAGGTAAAAAACTTAACTGAAACAACAATGGATTTATGCAAATTGCTTAATTTTTAAATCCCCTCCCTGTTTTAAAAAAAAAACCCAAAAGCCTGACTTTCATTAATTCTCTTCTTTGAACTTTCCAAACCAGCGCTGTGAGTTTCATCTTATGGGAGTGAGGGGACTGCAACTACTGCAGGTTTTTTGAAGTTGTAGGTGCCAAGTAATAGCACATCCAGTGCTGCAGCCTCTCTGTAGCTCACGGCCTGCTGTTGTTCTAATGACTGCCTGAGACCTTTGCCTGGGGCAAAGTGCATCCTTTGTGTCGCTGCAAAGCCAGTTGTGGTAAATTCTTGCTAGAAGGTAAAAAGAGGAAAAAAAAATTACAATTCAGATTGTCTGCAAGGTAATTGGAGGATTTATAATGCAAGCAAATAACCCTTGTGCCTAATCAGCAGAGAGAAGGCGACCTTCCTGCTTCAAAGAAGAAGCGCCAGGCAGGGGAGAAGATTATGTATACTTTGGTCTCTGTGCCACATGGAAATGACATCGCATCTCTCTTTGAACTGGATGCCACCACTCTTCAGAGAGCTGATTGCCTGGTTCCAAGGTAAAATAAAAAAAAAAAGGAATGAAAAAAGGGCAGAAAATAGTGCTGCATTGACAGGGTTTCTCCCTGGCATTATACTGGTGAGTAAAGCAGAAAAAAAAAATCAAACATGAGCAAGTATTATCCTCCCATTGAAAATTGAGGGATGTTCATGGGTAAACAAGGGATGTATAAAACATGCTGCTGCTGCTGTGACTGGGTAAAATAATTACAGGGATAAAACAAGTGACACTTAAAGAGCCTGTGAAGAGAAAAATAATGGGCTAAATATCGCACAGATATATGTGAGGACAGAACTGAGGTCTGTGCACTGCTTGAAAAAACTGTGTTCCTAATAGATCTAACTGGATTGTTCCCAACAAAATAATGCGTCATGAACTGGGCTTCTGCTTCCCTGACAGATCACGATGCTACCGAAGACATTTGTTATTCAGATGAATTCAGCAAGTGGCTTCTGGGTTTTAATTGTCAGTATTTGAAATTTTCATCTGTGTTGCATAGCTGAGATTGGCTAGATAAGTCACAGGGTGTTGGCTGTGACTGAATGGACTTGCAGACACTTGGGGCTAGTTGTTATGATTTTAAAGCTGGGTACCCACAAATACTGCTGTATGAGGCTTTGAAGAGTGTTTGCTATGCTAAGTTTTGCCAGATAATTTGCTTACTTGAATACTCAAAGCCCATCAGCGTGAAAGGGAGAGAGTGAACGAAGACCACAGTGAATATATTTCAAAAGTAAAATTCAGAGTTAAAATTGCAATTGCTTTCTCAGCCTTGCTTTTTGATAATACCACAGATTATCATATGGAAAGAATTTTGAAGGATCTCATGTCTGCTCTTTGTTCACTTGATTTTCAGTTGAGAACTGGTACTGTAAATGGAAGCCCTGGAATGAGGGTTTGCAGATCATTATGGTGAAGCTGTGAAACCACGGTCAGCTTTACTTTCTGGCTTTTGTGCTGTGACAACTTAAAGGGGGCCGTTATTCTGCAGAAAAGAAAACAATGAAAGAATTGGGTTTATTCATGAAATATGTTTCTATTGGAATGGGATTTTATAACGTCTCCCTTTTAATTTTTCTTTTCTTTGAAGAATATTTTACTCCTACTTAAAACCAGCACTCTGCATAATTCCAAGATGCTGTTCTTGTTGCAGCTCTGCCTGTTGTTTGCTTTGTCCTCCTTTAGGAACTCCTATGTCCGACTGAGGCATTTATGCACTAACACTTGGGTCACCAGTACCAGCATTCCAATAGACACTGATGAGGAGAGGCCTGTGATGTTAAAGGTAAACACCTATATCTTGGGATTAAAATCCCAAACTCATTCCTTAATTTGTCTACCGGTGATCTCCCTTCAAACATATAAAATATGCATAATAATCAGGATAAAGGTAAGAACACTCCTTGCCCACTTTAAACCAAAAACTGTTGCAGATTGGGACGTGCCAAACCAAAGAGGACAAGGAAGCTTTTGCCATTGTGTCAGTTCCTCTGTCTGAGGTCAGAGACTTGGACTTTGCTAATGATGCAAACAAGGTTTTAGCATCAACAGTTAAAAAGCTGGAGAATGGAACAATAACCCAGAATGAAAGAAGGTTAGTGAGTTTTATTTTTTTTTCCCTCCTAAATTAGTGTTTGGTTACTCTTGACATCATGACCTGACAATATAATGAAATTTGGTAATATCCTCATGGATGCAGAGGCAGTTGGGAGAGTGAGATGGAGGTTAGATCCCACCTCTGCCACAGCATCTAGGCTGATTTGTGCATCTCTTCTGTAAAATGGAGATAAACAGCACTTCCCCAATTCACTGACCACATAAATAAATGGGTAAATGTGTTTGTCTTAATTTCCTTTGATAAACTACTTCTGAGCTGCAATATGAGGGGTCACTGCATCTCATTCTCATGCACAAGAAGGCCATGCATACAACAGGCAGCACAGCAGGGCTCTTGATCTGTGTGAAGTTCATGTTCACCTCATATTCGTGCTGCAAAAGCCTCAGAAGGAGGTTTTAGTGTGACTGAGAAGCTGGCCCAGTAATCCCTTTGCTTTCTTGTTTCTATTTTCCCCTATTCTCTTTTCCTACCTTACATAATTTTGGTGTTTACCCCTTGTATTCATTCCCACTTGGGCTGTAGCACTATTAGCATGTTTGTTCTTCCCACCTGCCCCTGAATTAAGGGATTTTGTTGTAGCCAAATATATCCCACTGCCAGTGATGAAGTTCACTATTTGTCTTCACCTGCCTGTGGTTAAACTGGATATAAGACAGCTTCTCTAACAGTGTTAATTTGTAACCTGTAATGCATCATATACAGGTCCTTTTTTTTTTCCCTGAAGATGTTAATTTTTGGTGCTAAAACTGGATTTTTGCAGTCAGTTTCCAGTAGCAATTAGACCAGGTGGTTTAATATCATAACAGGCAGATCTGTAATGGCCTGGGTGCTGGTACTCAGCCTCAAAAAGCTGAGTGAAAAAAAAAAGAACCCAAACATCTTTTTATTGTCTTATCACTTCCCTGCTTAGAGAAAGAGAAGTCCCAACAGTTTATTTCTGGTTGCTTCATCCTACATCTGCCTTTTCCGCTCTTTTTTTCTCGGAGGACACACATACCTTGCTGTTCTCTAGCAGTGGGCTGAGACTTTCTTGGCTCAGTATATATATGAAAACAGTTATATATGAATATATATATATGAAAAAGTATATATATGAAACAGTTTCTTGGGTCAGTAGGGAAATTATCTGGTGGCAGAATGTTTTTATTCCTCTGCTGAGTCCATCATCTTGTTTCATGGATCCATGATAAAACATAAAAATTCTTGCTAGGCTGTTTAAGTTTCTTTTTACTGCTCCTGGGCCTTGAGGCCAGCTGGTATAGATTTTGCATCTCTGAATACTGTGTATCAATCCAGCAGCCTGTATTTTTCTCCTGCTTTCCCTCTGGTTGTTGTTTAATGCCTTGGTAAACAGCCCTGTGATTGATTTAAGCTTCTGCTGAACCAAGGCTTGGAATCCTTAAGTATGTGCCAAGCTTAACTTTGCAGTGATAGAAGTTCCATTTTGCCAGGTAAAGCTTGTTATAAACATGATTTTTGTTCTTAATGAATCCTGTCAAGTGTTGAATGACTATATATAATAATGATTTGTCTATTCATTCTAGGTTTGTAACCAAGTTACTGGAAGATCTCATTTTCTTTGTTGCTGATGTGCCTAATAATGGGCAGGAAGTTTTGGATGTGATCGTTACCAAGCCAAACCGGGAACGACAGAAACTAATGAGGGAACAAAACATATTGGCTCAGGTACATCCTACTGTGTTAATAACTTAATTGTGTTTGCAAACATTGTAGGAGACGGTGAGGTGAGAAAATGTTATTTTTGGGTAATGTGGCTTATGCCATGGTGGGTTTATGTGTGGTTGGACTGGGTAAATATGACACCACTGGGTCAAGGCTCATCTCTTGGTCCCTGAACCAGAGTGAAGTATGTGTATGATGGCTTAGTTTCATGTGACTCTCATGACTTTTAAGGCTACATTTGAGAGCAAAGTGTTCACAAAATTTGAAATAAGCGTGCAGCACTGTCCCAATCCTGCAAGTGTTCCCCATATTGGAAAAATTCCAATGCCCTTCTAGACCTCTGGCTTTGTTTGTATGAGGGCAAACTTGCAAGTAAATAAAAATTAATGGTCTCTTTAAGTAGCCTACTGAAATAATTAAAAAAAAGGGGGGGGAAAGATTAAATTGGACAGCAGTCAGCATAGTCTTCCTTTTCCTTTAATGTATCCCAAGTTAAGGCACTTAACAAACAGTGGTCAAAATTGGGAATAGCAGAAATAGAGAAAGCAATATCAGTCAGGTTGGTGGGAAATCTAAAGCTGAACACAAATGCATAAAGCTGTAATATCTCAGATTGTGGCCTCACTTGCATTTAGTCAAGGTTGTTAATTTAAGTTTAGCAAAAATCTGGGTTTGGTTTTCATTGTCATCAATTCTGATTTTGAGCAGATATTTGGCATCCTCAAAGCTCCTTTTAAGGACAAAGGTGAAGGATCGATGCTGAGACTTGAAGACCTGGGTGACCAGAGATATGCTCCCTACAAATATGTGTTGAGATTATGTTACAGAGTTCTCAGACATTCCCAACAGGACTATAGGAAGAACCAGGTCAGTGGTGTTGAGGGTAATTTTCCTCGTGATTCCTATAATTATATATCCTGGATTTGATATTGCTCTCTGCACTTAAAAGTGGGATTCTGTGGTGAAAGGCCTGGTTTTTTGTGGGTTAGTACTGTATGAATTGAAAGTTCAGCAATGAATATCACAAGTTCACTTTGTACTTTTACAGGCTCAAACTGAGACTGGGGTGCACTGCTTCCTTCATGAGCTTCCTGCTATTAAAAATATTCTCTTGGAGTCTAGACTATAAAGTGGGAAGTTTGCAAAACTATCGTTTCTGTGTTTGTAGAGGGATGGCAGTGAATCACAGCAGAATTTGCTCTGTCAGGTAGCCTGATTTCCCACTGCTGGAGACTTCCTGTGAGCAAAAAGGATTTCAGAACATGGACTAAAAGGACTAGAGATAAAAGCTCAAACTGCTGTGTGTGGCTTCTTTGTTTTATTTCTAATGCTTTATAGAAATATTTTTGTCTTGGAAGGAGGGAAAACTCAGGAAAAAAGCTTCTTAAACGATATAAAAACCTTTTGTTTTTTTTCCTTATAAAAAAAATTAGCTGCCATTTCTTGAATTTTGTGTATATTTTCATGGATTCATTCCTCTGGTATATGAAAGAATAAGAAGAGTTGGTCATCCCTAATATGGAATCTGTTCCTTGTGGTACATATTTTAGGTGTTCAGATGTTCTTTTGTTCAGGCCAGCTCAGAGAGGAAAGTTTTGAGGGTTATTTTGATTAACTGAGCTGAATGCCTCTGGTTCTAAAATAAAAACATTACTGCTCAGTGGTTCACCATGGGAATTTTCCTTTTTTTCAGGAATATATTGCTAAGAACTTCTGTGTCATGCAGTCCCAGATTGGTTATGATATTCTGGCAGAAGACACCATCACAGCTTTGTTGCACAACAACAGAAAACTGCTAGAGAAACACATCACAGCTAAAGAAATAGAGACATTTGTGAATTTACTCAGGAGAAATCGAGAGCCAAGGTTTGATGTGGTCCACACAACTTACTTTTTCTCTATTGATAGGTTTTTGTGTTTGCAGTAGCTGTGAATCTCCCTGCTATTCATTGCTCTGATGTCTCTTTCTCCCAGTTTTGATGTGGCAAACAGAAAAACCCACATAGAAAATATCGGTACTACCTGTCAGTCTTGGGGTTTGACCGTGTCTGCATTTCAGAACTTACTGAAAAGATGGTTTATACTTCACAAGATGGTTTTGAAAATTTCGTCTTACTTCAGATTGGGACAAAGAGATACAAACAGAAAGTTTAATTTCTCCTCTGTGAAACTGCCACTTGTGTCGTTTCCCCTGCCAATAATCTTGATGTAAATTACACAGATGGCAGTTTTTCTAAGCTTTTATTAACACTAGTTTTTCTGCAGGTTCTGATTCCAGGTCAGACCTAGAGCAGTGAAGATCCCAGTAAACGTGTCCTAGACCAAATTTTGTTCCAAATGAAAAATTCTGGCCTTGAACTTCACTCATTTGAATTTTTTTTTTTTACTAGCTTTAGGTCAGAATATAAAAGAAGTGGATTTTTTTTTTTTAAACTGGAAAATCTGTTTTTATGGCTGATAGTAGATGGTCAAAGTTTTTGTACCTGGATTTCTAAGGAAGCGGAATGTATGATATGTACGTGTGTGTGTGTGTGCCTGCTCATATCTGCTCCCCCACCAGCTCTTAAGCCTCTTGCCCAGTTTTGGCTACGTTTGCTAGAGGAGTGGTGGGCTCAGGGACACTTAGTTCCTAGGAGTGTCATGGAAAGAAGAACCTACATAGAGGGAACAAGCCCTTTTGATATCTCAGTGAGGCAAAGACTGCAGTACTGTTAATGCACACAGAGGAATCCATGGAAAAGAGACAAAACCAGATACCTCATAAATGCCCCAACTGTGAGGAAAGCCTCAGCCTGAACCTTGTTAAACATCAGAAGACCTAAGATTGAGAGGAAAAATTCATAGGAGACTGAATTCCTTGCAAAACTTCATTGTTTGTGCTTTACATGGAATGACCTCTTTGAATACAGAGGTCCTATGTTCAGCTCCTGCCAGGTCTTCACTCTTCTCTGGTTGCCTAGAGTTCCCCGGAAGTGTTCAAGGCCAAGTTGGATGGAGCTCTGAGCAACCTGGTCCAGTGGGTGGTACCCCTCCCCATGGAAGGGGAGTTGGAATTAGATGATCTTTAAGGTTGCTTCCAACCCCTACCCTTCTTTGGTTCATACTTCACTAATTGCTGGCTGTGTCACTTCAGAGATTTTAAAAGGCAGCTTTGGAAGGTGGAGGTGTGGTCTCCTCCAGTGCAGTGGAGCTCCCCAGAGGGCACATGACTGTCTCCAGCACAAGGAACATCTTCTTGCTACTTGGGTTAGGGATATGTGTGTCACCTGCTGGGGTGATGGGTGAGGGTGTGCACTCTTGCTTTCGGTTCCTGACAAGCATAGTGACCTTCAGTGGAGTTCCCCTGCCAGCCAAACTTGAGACAGCCTCAGACTGCTCTTAAGTTCTGGCACAACCCTTTGACCTTTGATTTGCTGAGAAACATCACACTTGGGATATTTTTATTTTCTCTCCCTGACTGGTTGTTCAGCACCACTCAGGGTGGCTCTCAAAGCTATTACTCATCTTTTTCTGTTGTGAGTTGCAAAGTATGAATTGGCAAAAGTTGTACATCAATAAATATTGTGATTTGTGCTCCCTTGAGCATCCATACCCCAGTACTGGCTGCTAGGGATTTCTACTGCAGTGTTTCTGAGTAGTATTTTAAATCTCATTTTCTGTTGCATCTGTGTTTTTTTGCCTGCAGATTCTTGGATTATCTGTCGGACCTGTGTGTATCCAACACCACAGCAATACCAGTAACTCAGGAACTCATCTGCAAGTTTATGCTGAGCCCAGGGAATGCTGACATTCTCATTCAGACCAAGTGAGCATCTGTAATTGGAACACAGCACCTTTTTGTTGCCTGCTCTGTTGTTATATCTGTAGCAGTTTGCTGTTGGCTCCATTGTGAATGGTTTGTGTTTGCAGGCTGGTTTCAACACAAATGGACAATCCCTTGGAATGCCCAGTCATCTCAGATGATGTGGATGAAGAGGAAGTGTGGCTTTATTGGATTGACAGTAACAAGGAGCCTCATGGCAAAGCCATCAGACATCTGGCTCAGGAGGCGAAGGAGGGCACGAAAGCTGATTTAGAAGTTCTAACCTACTACAGGTAAAACTGTTTATTCAGGCAAAATGTAAACTCTCTGAAGCCTCCAGTGCTGTTCTTAGTCAGTTCATTTGCCAATATCAAAAAAAGGAAATCAGGTCATACAGAAACTGGGATTAAAAGTTAGTTTCAAGTTTTTCTTGCAGGAGGCATCACAGTTTCTGCTGTCTCTTCCAAGCAAATTTAGAGTTTCTTTTGCTCATCACAGCTCTCTGTGTCTCTGTCATTTTGCCTCTCACCTTTTCTTTACTGGGCTCTAATTTTAGGTTGTGCTGCCCTGGAAGCAAGGCATGGTCTGAGGGAGGAGTGTCCTGAGGGTCTTGAGGATTAGGGGGAAAGGTGATAATGGAACAATGTCTTATACTGATTGAAAACACATAGTCCAAGTGCTTCAGCCTTCTATTGAACTGTTTCCTTTGACTTCCAGAGGGAACCCAGTCTTCATGGGAGCTGGATCCTGACATTAGCATTTTTAATGGCAAGTCAATCCCTTGTTTAGCAAAGTCACTCTTGTAATTTTTGAAGCTTTATACCAGCAAGGCTGATATTAGGTTTGTAAAATGAGATTTTGAGGGGCAGTGTTTCATTTCCAACTGCTTTCTTTGAATACCATGTTACTACCTTTTTTTTTTTCTTAAGGTACCAACTGAACCTCTTTGCAAGGATGTGCCTGGACCGCCAATATCTCGCCATTAACCAGATTTCTGCCCAGCTCTCAGTAGACTTGATCCTACGGTGCATGTCTGATGAAAGCCTCCCCTACGACCTCCGGGCTTCCTTCTGTCGGCTGATGCTACACATGCATGTGGACAGAGATCCTCAGGAATCTGTGGTGCCTGTCAAATATGCCAGATTGTGGACTGAAATTCCTACTAAGATCACAATCCATGAGTAAGTTGAAAGTGCTTCAGACTAAAGTACAAAAGCACTTTGTAGGGTTGTTCTCGGGACAACCCGAGATTGTAGATGTTGTAGATGTCTAATGTCGACAAAAGATGTTTCTGTTGCAGAGCACAGAAATGTTAGTTATTGTTACTCTTGGAGACTTCCATGGGTTTTATTTTTCACTCTGTTTTTATAGATGTTTAGTTTTCCTTTTTTCTGTGCCTTGCACTGTAGGTATGATTCCTTCACTGATTCTTCGAGGAATGAAATGAAGACCAAGTTTGCACTAACTATGGAATTTGTAGAAGAGTACTTGAAAGAAGTTGTGAATCAACCCTTTCCTTTTGGAGACAAAGAGAAAAATAAACTTACATTTGAGGTACTTCTCAGCAATCTACATCCTACTTACAGTACTCCTCATTTCAGCTAAGTTGACATATTTCAAAATAAAGGCAGTTGCAGAATAAATGTTGGTGCAAAATAGCCTGAAGAAGCACCGGTTCCTAATTTCAGTGTTCTTGGTGATGACTGTTACTGCAGAAAATTATATTCTTGTCTGCTGTCAAACAGCTGTATTTTTCCAATCCTTCCCACCTTCTCCTGAGGTGGTTGCATTTCGGTGGAGGGAGAGGGGATATGTGGGAGGATGAATGGCCATATTCTCTTTCTTTCTACATTAGTGAAATAACGTGTAAGGATTCTTCAGTATAAGTACTATTCTCTCTCTAAGATATTACACTGAAGAAAATAACCTAATGCTGTGGTTTAAGTATTGTGTGAAATTCCTGACAGAAACTTTAGATAGGCCTAAATTTTCTGGATTCAAATAACATTGAATAAAGGGGAAATGCTTCCAGCTTTTATAGTTCCTTCTCCAACCCACCTCCCAAGCTTTGTCACTGCTGCTTTTGGTCACCTGAAATCACCTCTGTTCTTACCACAGTCATCTTATCTTTCTTCTGACTTCCATCTTCCCCAGTTGCTGCCTCTTTAAATAATTTCCTTCTTCTTGATCTTAGATATTTTCACAGGTGCAATTGTGTCCTTCCAAGCCTTCCTAAATCTCACCTTGGATTTGCTGTTTGCTGTAATTTGACTGGCCAATTGTTTTTGTGTAACTCTGACAGACATTTAATGTCACCTTAGTCCAAGACCCACTTAAATCAGTGGAGAGACTTGTGCTAATTTGAGTGCACTCAAGATCTGAATCTCTGTGGAAGCTGCTGTGTGAAACGTGGATTGCACAGCTGAACACCATAAAGATTGTCAATACTTCCTTCATTTTTAATTTCTTTTTCTCATAGGTGGTACATCTGGCTCGAAACCTCATATACTTTGGCTTTTATAGTTTTAGTGAGCTCCTCAGACTGACCCGGACACTGCTGGCAATCCTGGATATTGTTCAAGTTCCTATATCGTCCTACTTCGAAAGGCTGAGCAAGTTTCAGGATGGAGGTGAGAAAAGAAGCAAAATCTGTTATTCCAGTGTGCAATTAGCTTCTTTAGGTTGGAAATAATTTATGGAACATCTCATTACTCTTTCAAGGTTCTTTATTCGCACATAACGTGCCTACAGGAATGTATTGCAGGGTACATTAAGAAGGTTGGGTAAAAAGGAACCTTCCTGACTTGTGGTCACTGCCTTGGTGTTGCTGCTGCTTTGCTTATTTGCAACTGAATTTTCAGATTTTGTTCTGAGCCTCAGTATTCCTTGCAGTGAACATCCCAAGCAAGTTCAAACAGCAGCTGCATGAGCACAGTGGCACAAATGTTTATCAGTCATCTTAGCACTTCACTGAAAGGGAGAAAAGATGTTACTGGTGCCCCAATTGAAGAAGCACCAGATGGAAGCCCAGAGGAGAATCCTCTGCATGTGTTGGTCAGTTTAAATTATCCTTTCTTTAACCCCAGGACTATCCTGTATGACCCACTGCCTTTTCTTCTGTGGCTTTCAACTGGGTTGAAGAATGAGCGTGCCAGGAAGGTGCTGAAACTTAGCAGTTTAGTTTTCCTGTATGTGTGGAAGAGAGGTGTGACAGTCGTGTGGGCTGAGGGTCCAGGAGACTGGCTGATGGCAAATTTTGTGTTAATATGTAGCTGGTGCTGCCAGCCAGCTGGCTCACAGCACCAAAATGGATGAGCTGTCTTGTTTGAAATAATTATTTTGTATTTTCTCTGGGAGGCGTTTTCCCAGCTTTTGAGTTTTTCTAATCATCTTTCTACTCAGTCACTCCCGCAGATGCCCTGCAGGAATGTGCCATCCCTCATAATGTTTTCCTTCTCTAAGGTTCACACGCTCTGGGGAAGTTTAGACTGTCACTGTCATCTCTGAACCAAGATGTTTTATGCTTGGTTCTCTTGCTCTTCCCTCCATCACTGCCAGTAGACTTTCCTGCAAACTTCTGGAAGTCTTTCCTGCAATGCAGTGCACACTAAGTCCTGCTGGAGCTGGCTGCAGTCCCTCCACAGCACTAGAGGAAAGACTGTATGTTCAGGCACTTGGAATTATGTTTTGCTTTTTTGTCCCTGAAAGACTGCATTGCAGACTCTCTTCTTAAATGGCTCTGGACACAGTTTGACTCCATTGACACTACTGGCAACATGGAACATGCAGATGTGGTTCTTCTTTTGAGTTCTCACTCTGCCCAAGTCTTTAATCCTGATTATACATCTCATTCAGTGTTTTTACATTCATTACCCATAGAATCATGTTTCATCCTTAATTCTCTTCTGTTTTTGTTGAAGGGTTTCATTCCCCTTTCACACAGATATTCTCTCTGTTAGAAAACTGAGTTGTTAGAACAAGTTACTTGTTTTATTGGTTACCTGTCTTGGTTTTTTATTGTCTCTTTTAACTTAAAATACCGATCTGTTAGGCTGTTAAAAAGGATTAAAGGAGAAATTACCCAAGTCTGGGTTTTCTGAGGTTTTGGAAAACGTGTTGGCATTTTCTAAAATCAGAATGGTCTGTTAATTTTTTTTGGAAAGTATTTTCTTATTCATACCTTCCATAAAATACAGACAGATGGATTGTTCCCTGCCCTCCTTCAGTATGGTGGGAACCCTCCCTCCAGTCAGGTAGGGGTGAGGGTGACTTCTTGCCTTTAAAAAAGGTCAGTATCCATTCTTCTTTTTTTTTTTTTTTTTTTTTTTTTTTTTTTTTTTTTGTTTTTTGTTTTTTGTTTTTTTTTCTTCTTTAAAGCATCCAGTCAGTGATCACAAATGTCTGGGGATTAGCTTAAATCAGTAGGAACACATATTTCATTCTTTGAGCTTAGAGCTTTGAAGTGTAGATCTAAACTCCAATTTTTACAAACACTGACAGCCAATCATGATGCCTGAAATTGGTTATAGATATAAAGAAATATGCTTAAATTTTATCAAGCATTAGAGGTGTGATTCTGTAACTCTAATGTGGGAAAGTGCTACTGAATACCAGCTTAGGCTCTGTATATTTTAATTTTTGTCACTATCTTATTGTAAATTTGCACAGAATAATATTAAACGTATATTTAACAGTGATATTTTGTCAATAACTATGCCAATTCAAAAACGCAGTTATTTTGAGATTCTAGGAAAAGTGACTTGAAAGGAGGCTTGACCAAATGAAAAAGTCATGTGATTACTATTCTTCAACTGTAGTAGATAAAAGGTGGCATCTCTACAGAAGAATTTTGTTAAGATTTATGTATTTCACATGACAGGTCTTGCCTTTTAGTTTTGTTAAAAAGTAATGATTTCCATGGGAAAATCAGTGCTAAATAAATTGGGGAACAGATAGGTTGTACTGCCTTTCAATTATGGCCATTGACTTGTTCCAGATCAGTAACAACAAAAACTTCCAATGTCTAGTTCCTGGAATGTGAAGTTGTAGGGAACTGCTGAGCTCAAAAAACTGTAGTCAGGATTTTGGGAAATAAATTAATGATGGGTGAAAGAATGTGGTGAGTCTTGGCTGTGGGAAACCTGCCTGGAGTTTTGCACCTCAAAATTGAAACAACCAGATGTTCAAACAGCAATCTGGAACCTTCTTCCATGTTTAATATTTATTTCTTAAGTAGACCCACTTATTTCAGTAAAACTACTTGCTAAGTAAGGAAGTGTATATGACAAGTGTTGAACTGTTGAAGCAAATCTGCAAAATGGGATGTATTTTAGTTGCATGAAGACTTAATTAACCTTTTACCTGAAGATGTCATTTTCCAAGCTTTGCTTAAGTTTTGAGCCACCTTGGTGGCTGAGGTAGTCCTTGATATTTTGTGTGAGTTTTTCTCTATCTTGGTTCTGAAAAGATTCTAAACAGATCATGGAATCATGGTGTGATTTCGGTTCGAAGGGACCTTAAAGACCATTTCCTTCCAAACTCTTGCCATGGCCAGGGACACCTTCCACTAGACCAGGTTACTCCAAGCCTCATCCAACCTGGCCCTGGACATTTCCAGGGATGGAGCAGCCACAGCCAACCTATGCCAGTGCCACACCACCCTCATAGGGAAGAATTTCTTCCTAATATCCAATCTACACCTACTCTCTGTCAGTTTGAAGCCATTCCCCCTTGTCCTGTTGTTCCTTATATTAATGTAAATGTTATGCCTTGCTTGCTTTAAAAAGCTTGATTTTAATGCCACTGTCAGTTCCTTCATCCAGAATTAAATTAGCATGCATGTAGTTTTCAGGTGTGACCTTATTTGACGGAGACAGATTGGGGAAAGTTGGCTGGAAACATTTGCGAGAAAAGATCCTGGAAAAAGTAATGATGTGTATTTTTGGAAATGCTTCTTACCTAGATTACATCCTAAAAATGAATTGACTTGAAAATGTTGCAACCAACTTCTTTTTTGTTTCAGTCAGTGTATCTTAACTTTGAATGATTTTCATGGTTCTTTGAAGCTTTTTTCTGTTCCTTTTTTCCTCTTTTTTTAGATTCTAAAAAGAAATAAATAAGGAGTTTACAAAATATACTTCTCGTATCCTAAAGAGGCATTTTTTTTCGTAAGGACAAAGGGAGGACTTCATTTAGTAGTGCTGTCTTTCTGGCACCTTTAAAGAACATTATAATCTCTTGCAGTTTTAATTAAAAGGTAAAGTCGTCGCTTTTCTAGTAAGTGCACCCTGCTGTATCATTCCAAAGTAAGGAACCAATCTGCCTTGTCCAACACTGCTGATTTAGTCTCTGTGAATTAAAATGCACATCTTTCTCTAGGTGCTATTTGATCTTTCAAATAGCTGATTTTGGTCAAACCATGCAACTACAGCATATGTCGGGTCTGAAAGATGAAGCAACATGGTAGGAGCAGTAGGTGAGCTAACACGTTTGTCATGTGGCTCAGTGCTATATGGTTGTTTGGGAATGAGAATAAGGACATGCAAGGAAATACATCCTTGAATTGAAACTGCATATGTCTTGGGATGCAGGACACAGTGCTGGGCATCAATTGAAAAAGCCCTCAGTGGTGCAAACCTTATCTGCAGACTAAGTCTTTTCCTCAGGAGTTCTATGTAGGTGGCTACAATTTTCCTGAGCCAGAGTCCACTGATATCAGTGAGAGTCTTCTGATTCCCTTTGCTGAGTCTTCTTGAACAAACTGGTTTTAAAAACTACCTGTAATAAGCTCAAATTGCTCCTGCGTCTGTGATTCTCCCATGAAATGTGTTGCTCGTTGAAATGAAATGCATGGAATGCATCATGAAAAGTGTGTGTCGTGCTGCAAGCTTTCATAGAATAGAGTCATAGAATGGCCTGGGTCGGACGAGATGTGAAAGATCATCTTGTTCCAACCCCCCTGCCATGGCAGGGACACCTTTTACTAGACCAGACAAATGCCAGGAGCTCATTCCCTCAACTCCAACTGGGCAAGAAGTTGGGTAGCATTTTCTTCCAGCCCTCTTGGCTGCAAGTAGAGGTGTGTAGTGCTTAGAAGCACCAGTGAGACCACTGCTAGAACTGCCTTTTCTCTGTTTCCTTTGGGTCCTCGGTGATCCAGAAGGACCAGATTTCATCCATGACTATTAGAAATGACTGTGCTGTTTCTCAGCCTTTCACCTATGTCTGTTAGCTGCTCTTTTGTCTAGTTAACAATTGGAAATATCTTCTTGAAGCATACCTTGATTAGCAGACCTAATGAGGCAGTGGCTGTCTGGCAGACTGGAGCAGTAATTTAAACCAGTGATTTATGAGAAAAGAAAGGTTACAAGAGGAAAAAAAGATTTAACCCTTAGGAAAGTTACCTGTGTCAGTCACAGATGTCTGCAGTGAAGCAACTTCAGAGCACTGTCAGACCAAAGGGGAGGTCATTCTGAGAGCTTAATTCTGTGGCATGAACCATTTCTCTTTCCCTCTTATTCTCTCCCTTATCATGAGCCCTGTGCATTAATGTGATTCCAGAGGCCATTGCTCTTCTAGGAATCAATATCCCTCTTACAGATGTAGCTCAGCTAGAAGGCTTGATTCCCAT